CCAATTGGCATCCAAACTTGACCATGTCACCAGCAAAGAATGGGAAGACTTTTCCTCTAAATGAAAAACAGACACACCTTCATTCTGCCCGTGCGGGCTTTCTAGTCTCCCATCGCGCGCCTCCCCAAGTGGCGGATAGGGGAATTACTATCAGATATGATGGGTACCAAGGTAGTGTCTGATTCAAATTGAGCGGCTACAAACAGCATTGACCAGATGACGCAAAAATTCGATAGATCCTATTAGAAAACACCAGATGAATACAACAAAAATGTATGTAGCCACATATGATATAAGAACGATGAAAACCAGAGAACACCTTAGTTAGATCAGAAAAAGAACTTGAGCAGATAAAGTGGTACATTCTTGGATTATGTGAAACCCGCCTTCCAGAAGAGAAAGCCACAGCTCTAAACGCCACGCCAGACCACGGGTTGTACCAGAAAAATTCTGCCGAGCCTGGGCAAGGAGGAGTAGCTTTTCTTGTAAATAAAATACTGAGACATCTGATAACTGAAATGAATTAAATCTGAGACACGGTGATCTACATGACACTGAAATTAAATAAGAGATACAGTATCCAATTCATCTACGGATAGGCCCCCATAAGCCAGCCAGACGACAGGAAACATCAACAGGAATAACCAGCCTTTATGGCCTTAAATAATAACCAATTATTCATGCAAACTAATCGGTCAGCGCCTTTAAAACTTAGAAATGAAACAGTTAGCGTTGCCATCACTCCAAATGGACCAACGGACATTGTTAAAGATTTCTGCGATTGCATTGTTATAATGCACAACAATTTTCTATCCTGAAAGTTCAAGTTATACCAGTTGAGTCCGCAAAGGACATCCGCAGTTCTTATACTCTGTAATGAAAGAAATATAGTTTTGTGGCAAAGTCCAATGTTAAAAATGCATAGACCAGGCTTGGAAGTTGTTGCTAGTGATAATTTATGCATACACACCTCTCAGCAAACACAAATGGTCCGTGGGACGTTCTATTTTGATCCCTGTTATCCCGCATGGGATGATCCTTGGTAGGATGTCCCTAGACCGCCCCTCGCATCGCACAAATATCTCGTGCAGATCCCATGCGCGCCGTCCCAGGAACGATCTATTTTTTCTCCCAGGGACGTAATGAACAGGACGTATATATAGTAATAGTAAATGGCGCGCTCGAAAAAGTTATACACTTTATTACACACTTAATAAATTATATACCATCAAACAGTCATTTTACATAATAAAATATATTTTATTATGTTAAGGGCCTTAAGAATCTGATTTTGCTTAACCCTCGATGTGATCCGAATAGACTTAGTGAACAAGTTCTAACATCGGTGGCGAGGCCTGAAGTAGAAGCTGTCGAAGAACCTTTAGTTGGACTTATAAATGATAAAATATATCTCGTTTTTATTACAGATGGCTTGCTCAAAATCCGCTGTTTATACCACGTAGAAAAGACATTGAAATTGAAGCTCAAACTTGGCTTAG